TATAGTATGATTTTTTCCAGATTTAGCGATAAATAAAGAAATTTGATAACTAGCCTTAAGAATACGATTATGAGTTGAAGTGTGAGCAGTAAATAGAGACTTTACTGTTGTCCTCTTTTCAAAATTTTTCTCTAAAATTTGAAAGTAATTCAAATGTGAATTAATATGAGCATTATGCTTTGCCTTCAAATGCACCTCAAGATGACCTGGTTTCATTGATTCGTTGGTCAAGCATTGCTGGCATAAAAGACAAAAAGGAAACCGCTCATCGTGGACTGCAGGTATGAACCCAAATTTTAAATATTCCTTCCAATATTGACGAACGTTTTTCTTGTTTGCACCACTCATTTTACTATTGGCTGAAAGAAATATATATAAAATCAATTTAAAACTATGTGTTAAAATTAATTTAATGTGACATAGAGTAAACGTATATTAAAAAAAACATATTTATTTAAATGTATATAACACATTTACCACACTGCCACCGGAAAATAATATTTTTTCCATTTGACAAATTTGATGCAGGTAAAGTTTCATATAATAATTTGTTTTACTTTTCATAGAATTTTTGCAAAGATTGAATTTAAAGATAGCAATAGTATAAGTACTAATTAAAGGCGTAAATATCAAGTAAAAATTCAAAGCAGTTTAAGAAAAAAGTATTTAAAATTAACAAAATATTTCAATAAGAAAATAAATTCAAGTATATATTTGTTTATTTTTGACTAGTTTTATCAACTTCTAATTAGACTGAAAACATAAACATCATAACAATTTCAAACTTATGTATAAAATGTAACGCAAAAATAAATAACTTTTAAAGGTGAAAGAAAATATAAAAAAATTTAAAAAATTTGCATTTATTAATACAAAACTGTAATTCAAAGAAATAAATAAGAATAGTATTTAAAATTAATATTTTGTAATTTAAGAATCAATAAAAGATATGATTTGAGTTATGAAAAATTTATGCATGAAACACGATATTCCATTATCTCACCTCAAATGTTAGCTATGTTCACGAACAGTTAATGAATGACAAGTAGAAACAATAAAGAGATTTTTACGAATGAAATATCCAGAAGTAAATGAATTTAGCTGTTATATCAGAAAAAGTTAGAGTTAACAATAACAAAATATAACTTACTTAAATTAAAAGCAGAATCTTCATTTACCCCTTCAACTCCGTAAAAAATGATAACATTAATTTTAAAAAAAAGCCTAAATTAATACGAAATCTACGACTAAATACACACGTGGCTGTGAAGAAAAGAAATGCTTCTCAGACTCAGTTGGCATCGTCAGCTGACCCATGACCTTTGCGACTGATCTTGGCTTATAGCGCCACTTTTTTGACTCAACTGCTTCCGAGTCGGGTACACACGGAGCCTTCCGTCTGTCGCAGGGAGGTTAACTCGACAATGCCAAAAACACAGTTGATATTTTGGTCTCATGAAATGAATTTATAATATTTATTGGCTGCAATTATTTAAGAATTTGCTTTTTCTTTCAATTTTGGCACCGAAATTTAGCATTGCATTTAAATGGCCCAGAGCAAAAGGGTTAAACTTGTGTCGAGTCCATTTTTGAATTGTGCCACTTTACAATCAAATCGCCCCCCTTTGGGGCGTGGACCCACGTTGGGAAATGCGGGTCTAGAGTCTCACTGGTTACAATTATATCATCTAGGTAAATAAACATAGATTTTCTAAGTACAGGTCTATGGCCTATATAATGTCTGTGGTACTTTGAAACATGGTGAGTTCTGTATGTAAGCCAATTGGAAGGCCTAAACATCTGTTTTTTGGCACATCCTGTGGTTTTACACATATTTGAAAATACCCTAGGTTCCATGCTAGATCTTACTTAGTGTAAATCCTGTGGTAATATCTAGCATGGTAATTTATTTCGTTGACTTAATTTTTATAATTATTTCTTCAGTTATGGGCAATAGATAAACTGGATATTTAGGTATACTATTTAATTTTTGATAGTCGATTGCAAAACACCATGCTTTATGATTGTCGGTGGGAGATTATTCTTCTTTTTGCATTGTACAACAGAGCTAGTGTAAGGACTACTTATGGGGATAATAATTTTATTTTTTAATATCTCTTGGATGTGTTTTTAATTATTTGTTCTTTAACTTGTCATAGAAATAGGGCTTTACTTGACAGGACTAGCTGTTTCCTATGTGTCTGATGTGGTTTATGACTTACTTTAACCTTGGCACATCATCAGATAAAGTAGCAAAGTCTACCAACTAGACCACCTTCAGTTTTTCTGATGCCTTCAGTTCTTTGAAGTCTATGCCCAGAGGCTGGATATTTTTCTTTTCCTCTTTATTCTTGTCCACTTGCATCATCACTTCCTAAAAATTAATTTTTGCCCACCCCCCACTTTTAAAAAATCCATTCACAAAATAACATGTGCCTGAAGTTTTTCACATCAAAGAAAAAATTTTTCCTGTACATTTAATGTAACCTTTCCTATATGTTGACATTGTTTTCTCTGGGCAGCAGTAATCCAGTTCCTTCAATATCAAATACTCTATACCTTTTAAAATTCTTTCTAAAAATGTTCTGACAAAAAACTACTTTGCACCCTTGTATCCAATAATGCATCTACTAGTGCATAGTTTAATAGAATTCGAATAACTGGCTGTGCCAGATTTTATATTGTCATCATATTTAAATGAATCCAAGAGGGATTTTTCTCCATCAAGAATACCTCTACCCTCTGCATTTCAGCACCCTTATTAGTTTAAATTTTTTCTGTCTCTCCCATGTTTTGTCTTTTGTGATTTATCTTAGCGATCACCATACACAGATGAAAATTTCTTTCTATTCTCAAAAATTTTACTACAATCAAACCATGGGCTTTCTTGCTCTATAGGCCTGTGAAAATATCCGCTCGATATCCAGTCACATCCTGATGTACACATACTTTCTGCTATCCTTCTACTTTCAAACTTCACTGCAAGCTCAAAAAAATTTTTTTTTCCTAATATGCTCAGATTTTGCAATTCCACAAAATTCTGAATATACAGCAGTAGACTAAGCAACATTATTTGTACGACCTCTGCATCAGGCATTTTCCATACATCAAGTTTACCAGTTGTATTTTTCTCAGTATAAACACAGTCAGTTCTATGACTTTAATCTGGTGTCTGTTAAGTAGTTCTGCCTCTTATTTCACCCTATCTATGACAATGGAAAATGCTTTTCCAAGGGTGGCTTTGAATATGTTGAACATAAAATTCTCACTGACTGGTTCACCCAACAAAAACTTACCAATGCCTTTGTACCAGCTCAGTGCCTGCCTTCAGAGTGTGACGATTTATGGTGAACTTTTATACCTTTTCGGCTGGTAAAGCAGAAAATGAGTATCTAGTTGTTCAAAAAAGCTCATTATAAAACTTCTACCATTAAAATTATCTGTGGGTTTCACTAGCGCTCACATCATATACATGATGAACCCAAAACCTTACGGATTTACTGGTGCCAGTGGAATCTATGATCTCGGTATCAGACTAAAATTTGGTTTATCTTCATCCATTGTTTGTGTTTTTCTTTTGATGTCAATGTAGAGTATGATTTTCTTTGGTAACATAAACTGGTATCCAAACTTCTAACAGATTTGGAGCAAATTATTGCTGTGCCTGAAGATAATTAGGAAAACTTGAGAAGATTACAAAGTAACCTTTTTATAAATCAGAACTTTGACCAAAAAATGCTTGTCTCATGCTTAATAGGATCAGTGATCCAGATATGGTAATATAACTTTACAGTCAGCTCCCATTTTAAAACTTAGTAGCCAAAGGTTACAAAATTGATTTAATGCAAAGTTGATTCAAAACTTGGCATTCTTACAGGTGTAACAATTTAAATATCCACAACTGTAATGCAAATTGAAGACTATAATCTTTTCCGAGTTTGTAAAGATCTAAATCATCATCACTGGTTAGATTAACTTAATGTAATTCTATGCAATTTTTACTGAGAGATTTTTAAAGAGTATAGATATATTTTCAGCAAATATTTACAAATACCTTTGATCTCAAAGCTCTTTCATTTTCCTTTTTTTGTTGTGAGTTTTTTTTTGAGGGGGGGGGCGATGTTAGAGCATATGACTTGCTTGAATTTATTATTTATGTTAAATTATAATATGTGGATAAGGCTTGAAAAGAAAATATTTTTACAGCTGTTTGGGCCATTTAGAAAAAATTTGATCCCTAAAACTCAGTAATGTATTTTATTTTCTTGTTATTGTGTGTTCTGAAGAAAATAAAAGCTAAGCAGGGCTTAGATATATTACGATGTTTAAAAATTATTTATAATCATTAACGAAAATTTTAATAATTTTCTTTTAAACTTTAATCATTATAACCTTTACAACAATGTTATTTGCTTTCTTCAATAGTTCTGTAAGTGATTTATTTTTTTATATCTGAAACAATTTGAGTCAAAAAACTAAAGTGGCAAAAATTAAATATTTTATAATTTTGAAAAATAAAAATTTGTATCTTTATTTCAAAGCTAAAAACTCAACTTTTGTTTTATAAGGAACTGTAATAAGTGTAAACTGAAATGAATATATCATTGTTTTAGAATTTTTTTGGCAAGAACAAAAAACATATACAAAAAAGATTTTCAGTTTTATTCTGTTTGGTATTTCTATCTTTCCTTCTTTTATTCTTTACTCTCCTTTTTGTTCCATCTTTAATTCAGTTTGCGATTCTTAGGTGTATATATGAAAATAGATTTTCTTCTCTTTTATGCTAGAAGTGAAATATTGTCGTGTTTTGAAAAAAGATTTGCATCCTAATTATAAACCATTATATTTACTACTCAAACAAAGTAATATGTTAAAACCAGAATGCTCTAATTATCATATTCATGCCTATGACAAAGGTTGATTTATATACATTATGTTCCTTTTTAAATATGTTAGTTATTAACGTACAAATTTTAACTTTTCTGTTTCGTTCATTTTAGGCCTATTCATATGCTAATATTAAATGCTGGTGTTTTTGGTCTTCCGTACTCTATAACAGAAGATGGTTTTGAAACAACATTCCAAGTGAATCATTTAGGACATTTTTATTTGGTAAAATTATTAACACCAATACTGATCAAATCAGCCCCATGCAGAGTAGTAGTTGTTTCTTCTGAAAGTCACCGGTATAATTTTTCTTTTCATTTAAAATTTTTGTTGTTCAATTTCCAAAGAATTACAGAATCTTTAATTTATACTGATTTAACTTTTCCCTCCTCTATGTATGAGTTTGTATTCTTTGGGTATTTTCATGAAATAATTACATTAAATCTAAATTCTTTTAAACTATTTTATTGTAGTTAATGCATAAAATTTTTTGAAACTGTTTTATTATATTTAATGCATAACTGGATATTCTAAATTTTACTGTTCTGCAATGCATTGTAAATTTTATCCTTCAGTTTCAACTGCAGATTTTTTATGTTTTTTATTAAAACCTTATAATTATGGAAAAGTAAAACTGTTTCATATCAATCATAGGCACGTAGCTATCATATGTATGTTTTAATTATATATCTTATTTGCCATATGACTTATTAATGAAGATGATTTTCTTTTGGTGAATGTGTTCAACTGTATGTGTATCTCATGTTTAATTCCTTTTCTATTTCATTGTGGAATGAACAAAGATTTTGAATTTCTTTTTCTCACTTGGATTTGCTAAGTTTCACACTTATTAAAAAAGAGAGAGATGGCAGCTCAATTCGAAGAATTAAAAAAAAAAAAAAAAATGAAGTGTATCTATTATTCAATGTATTGTTATTGTAATATAAAAATAATTATTAAATATTTATATTACAGTGCCAATTTTTATCTCTGAAAGGGAAACTGGGAATGTTAAATATGTAAATTTCGCTTTGTATGATTGACTATGTTTTCAATTCTGTTTCCATTATATGTCTATATTACTTTTCCATTTTTCTTCATAGAAACCAAATTAAAAAATTCATTTCTATGTCACATGCATATCAGAATTTCCTAGCTTATAAACATATTTATAAAACATATTTTTTTTTACTGTATAGCATTTAGAACTGCCTATTTATATTACTGTGTAATATAAATATTTTTTTGAAAGTATATTTTATGTTCTTTCAGGTATTTTATTTACCTTAAAAGAAATGAAAATAATTATTTTAGTACCCAGAAAATTTTTAAAAAGTGTTTATTACTGAGCTGCTAATATTTTTTCTAGTAATTATTTTCAAGATAGTGTTTTTTTTAGGAGGCTGTGTCATTAATGTTTATTCATTTTTTTTTACATAAAGAATAGCTGCCCAAAATAGTTTGAGTAAAGTGTATTCTTGTATTTTTATTATTATGAATATTTATTTTGTAATGCACTTATAAAAATATTTATAAAAACTTTTATTTATAGATTTTCATATATTAATAAAGAAAATATTTCTGAAGATCGTTTGTCTCCCAAAACAACAGCTAAAGGCTTTATATCAATTGTTACATACAATGATTCAAAACTTTGCAATCTTTTATTTTCTAATGAACTGAACAGACGTTTATCTGGAAAAAATGTGTTTTCAAATGCAGTGCATCCAGGTAATGTTGTTAGCAGTTATCTATCACGTAGCTGGTGGTTGTACAGACTGCTTTTTGCTATTGTTCGGCCTTTTACAAAATCTTTGGTAAGTATAGAATGGCTTTATTTTTTTTAAGCTGTATAAAATCTCTGATTTTATATCATTTTCTATAAAAGTTTGTTAAAAATCTAAGTTACTTCAGAAATTTGAAATTTAACCCGCGAAGACGCGCGCTACTTTTAGTGTGCATCGGGCTCCGTAGGCCCGAAGCGTTTCTCTTAACAAAACAAAAATAAAATTGCTTGTGTAATTGAAGAAAAACAGTTAAATAATAAAAAAAGAGTGTATAAATATAAAAATATACTTTTAAGTTAATAAGTCTAATAAAATTGTATTTTAAAACAATTTTAAGATTGAAATTAATTATCATTAACAACAAAAATTAAACTGATTTCTTTTTGAGCGCAAATGAAATTTATTACTAATTTATGCAATATTAGATTTTTACAGCAATAATTTCAAAATAAAACTTACATTTCACATTTTTTTGCAAATACTCGTGCTATGTTTACCACAAACATTTTTCACGTACATAGCGCAGCAAATTTGTGATTTTCGGTCCGTTATGTAACTTTTTTGCAATTTTCAATGAACGTTTCAAAGACATATCTTATCTGAGCCAGTTTATTTATTTCCCTTCTCGAAAAGCGATCTCTTATGTCATGAAATCTCAAACATCTTATTAGAAATAAAAAACGTTTGTTAGACATTGTTTGATGAAAAATGTCAAGCACCATTCCGCCAGTCACCCAAAGGTAGACAACATTTACATGAGAAGCCTTGTGGTGTCCTCCAAAATAAAGAAGACCGATAAATGTTCTGATTTCTGTAATATTTGTGTATCTCTCTCTATCTTACAAATCATTCATCTCTATCGAGCTTCTCTCTGTATCTTCCAAATCTGATGGCAATGGATTCAATATAAATGTTTGCACAATCTACTAGGATTTTTACTATTATTTTATCCATAAGCAGCTGCCAAGAATTTATAGGGGATGACACAAATTTTGCTTCACAAACATTTCCGAGCAATTTTCTCACAATCTTGTGAGCAAGAGTTCTCACAGCAAGTTCTTTTTTATTCCATTTTGTCACATTATATTTGCAAAGATAACAATTCGCTGACGGACACAAAATTACTTAATTCATTACTAGATTCAGCGCTTGAGTCTAATGCCTCTTCATAATTCGATTGGTGATCACTAAACTGTTCTTCACCAACTATTTCTTCGTCCTCTTCATTAATTGTATCTTCATCAGTCAACACTTCGGCTAATAGTTTCTGTAGTCTTTTCATTTCATCGTCATAACTCAAATAGCAATTGCCTGATTTCTTTCACAATTTTAAATGACAATGAAAGCGCGCGCCTCGGGGCTGGGAAGCCCGGTTACTCAGTTTCTTAGAAAAGATGAAGGTTAAATTTCGGAAATGCTTGTGAGTGACAAGTACATGACCTTAAATGCTACTGAGAAGGTCGAAAAATTTCACCCAAGAGAGAAATTTTTGTATTACGTTTTTGTAACGACCGGGCCTCGCAGGCCCGACGTGCATTCTCGCGGGTTAAAAAAATTGTGAAAATTTCTTCTGAAATCTAAATTTTTCAGCGATTTTAGTGGTTATATTTTTAAACTTGCTATGTGTCTTTTGTATTTGTTATATTCACATGTATTAATTAAATGCATTGCAGTGTTAATATAATGTTCTGCATTTTGAAACTTGTGTTATAAGAATATATAATCAGAGAGTTAAAAATCTCTTTTGTGCTTACCTTTGAACTTCAAGTACATGTTTGTCTTGATCGTGAAAGTATAAAGTTTGCCACACACATTTGTAGTTACAAGTATTGCAAAGAAATCTTATTCTCAAATAAAACACTAGTTAGGACAGATGGTGCCATGACTGCCAGCTCCTGCATGCATTCCCCTGCATGCATGCATAATTTGAGTCGTAGAATTGAAATATGGAAAAAATTGGTATGTTATTTCAGAAAAAGTCCTATTTTGTGTCAAAATAACTATGTTAGAACAATGCTATATATAAATCTAATATATATCCTAAACCTTTCGAGACATGGAAAACAAAAGTAAAATTTTGACAATCGGTCCAGTAGAACGGGAGATATAGAACTGTTCCTTTTTTTCCTGCAAGGTGTACATACATCTTTTATTTCTTTACTAATCAATCTTAGTTACAATGTATATCTAAGCTGCGAGCATAGAGCATAACTTCGCTTTAGCATAGAGCATAACTTTTTAACTTCGCGCTTCGATACATGAAAAACGCAATTTGAATTTTGTCAATCGGCCCAGTAGAACGGGAGATATAGAACAGTCCTCAACCCTTTTCTTTGTGCAGTGTACATTCATTAATATAAGTTAATTTCGTTTTCATTAACGGCTCTCACAACCCTTCCTCTTATTTATGACCTCTCTGTAAGTCTCCCCCCTGGAAACTAAGCTTTTGATGGCTCTCAGATTGAGAGTTAGCACCCTCGGTACATCTTGTTGGTTGGCGTCACCCATACATTACAATGACTGTAAACTTTCGTAAGTAATATAAATAATTCACAGAATATTTGTTATCTTTTTCTATTAAATATTTCATTCTTTACATAGCTGAATTTTGAGTCGTATTATATGAACTTGCAGTATAATGATTTCTTTGCATTGCAGAGCCTCTGAAATATTTAGGAAATTTCAGAATTTCAATTTTTTTTTTTACAATCTCTCTTTATTACATAATATTTTATATATATAATTATATTATCTTATATAAATTACTTATGTACTTATTATTTTTATTAACACAACCTCTAAAATTCGAACATATCCTTTAAATTTTCTTTTAAATATTACGTTAATTGTGTTTTTATATCATATTCTGTATATTTTTTCTAAATGAATAAATAATTAATGACAGAAACAACATCTAATGATTGGTAGTGTTCCACTAGGCTCTTTTCGCTTATATCTACTATATGGGAGATAGCATGAGTAATAAGATTATTTTATTTTGTTTATCATTTTAATATTATGTGTGCCATTTACTCTCCAGAAATTTTTTCAATTCCGTAATCAAAGTAAATATCGGTAGTTGAAAAATTCCTGCATTTCCAACTGAAGCAAGGAATTTTTTTATAGTGACAAGAATAGAACTTTTTGAGTAATAGCTTACATGCCTATATTGCACTAAGTTACAGCATATTTTGCTACAAATTAGAAAGCAGTATAGTGAAAATTCAAAATCTGCTAATACAGTGAAAAAGAATTGTAAAAGAATGCCAGTGTCATCAATAGCTGAGTAATCAGAATATTCAACAAGATTCCTCTGTTGCTGTCCTATCCTAGAATATTTATTTTGTATAAAATGCATTATTTTATTACTTAAATGATGTGATTTATGTATGAATTATTAATATTTAAATTATTGTTATTTATAAACTTACGTCTCTTGTTCCATTATAAGAAATGATGAAATTTGTTTTAAAATAAGTAAATTTCCATTTATCATATACAGTCAAAAGTCATTAATTCGGACACCCATAATCCAGAATGATCTATAATCCGGACCCTGCGCGTAAGACCTCTTACGACTGCGCATTAGCGTGTGCGCAAGCGCAGAATACGTTTTCGCATGCGCGTTTTATGTATAACGGACGGTATAATCTAAAATGATCAATTATCTATTTCAGTTAATGTTGATGATTGCGTTGTTCCTTAATCTTCGAATTGGATCCGGCTTATTATTTTTTTGCAGACTGTAAGAGCAATTTTATAAAAGTAAACTTGAACTTTCGATTATATCAAATAGAATTTCCGAATCTGGAGCTCTCAAAGGATCGTACAAAATATGTACAAAAATCGTACAAGTATGTTTCGATGTCCATCAAACAAAAAGTGAAATTGCTGCAAAAACTGGATAAAGACATGAAGAAGGTGACAGAGAGGTTAGTGAAAACGAAAAAATTTCGATTGACAATTTAGTCGGTATTCTCGGCACAGCAATTAACGGGACTTGAACAGCGGAACTTTGTAAATGAACAAAAAATTATGTCTGTTTATAGAATTAAAGAGAAAGTATTATCACATAAAACGAAGCAACTTAAACAACTTACATTGAAAGAAATATTTAATAAAGTAAACAAATAAATATTAAGCTCTTTTTTTTTTTTTTTTTTTTTTTTTTTTTTTTTTTTTTTTGTAAATTTTGATACCTTTTAGATCATAATTGTTCTTTATTTCATAAATTACGGTTTCATATTTTTAATTTTAGAATTTCTGCATGCCATCTTACGCGATTTAAACTGATGATCTATAATCCGGAAAAATCGATAATCCGGAATCGCCGAAGTCCCGACGAGTCCGGATTAACGACTTTTGACTGTACTTACAAATTATTAATATCTAGATTACAGTCATTCAGAAAATTACTTCTGTTTCATTTTAATAAATTAAAGCATTCCTAGAAATCCGTTTTAAAATAAATTTCAATTTCATTTCCTTTTGTCTAATTGCTAACTGCAGCTTTTTTAATATAATGTTGATGGAAATCTCTATCTAATCTGATATTATATCATGCATTATAGCTTGGACATTTTAACTCCAGTAACACAAACTGCAAGCATTTATTTCTTAAAATTTCTTGTTATATTTTTGTAAACTATTTGATAGTATTTTCAGCTACCTGTATGTTGTATGCTATGTCATGCTCATTTGAAATAAATTATTATTTCATGAATGTGTTATTAAATGATGAATGTAGACCATGCCACTAATAGTTTGGTTTGGTTTTTTGAGATTACGGCAAAGCACACTAGGGCTATCTGCCTAAGGGGAGGGATGCCTTCGTGGAGGACTTTCTAAGGGAAACTGGCTCGTATAAACATTACACATGGGGAAAACCTTGAAAACGCCCATGCAGCCAGCTCGTTTATGGGATTCGAACCTCGGACCAAACTACCAGTGTTCAGCGACTTTACCGCTCGGCTGCTGGTGAGCCCCTGCCACTGATAAAGTTTGCATGCTAGCTTGTTTTAATCTATGGA